TCTGATCTTCTGTCACTGCCACACCCAGCTGGATGTCAGGGCAGAGAGCAGAGTGGAGGGAGGATTTAGAGAAGCAAATGGAAAAGACCCTGTCTGGAGGTAAAGTAATGGTAGAAGAAATGGAAAGAGCACAATTTGAGACAGATTTAAAGGACTTTGCCTGAATGGATTTGGAGATAGAAAAAAAAAAGTCAAAGATGACATCCCAGTTTAAAGTTACTAGACTAAAATGACAATAATCTCAATTGAACCTATTTTTACTTACTATTGTATTCCCAATGCCTTACACAGACCCTTGGGAATAAAAAGCTTCTATAAACAAATTGGAGTGGATGGGCAGACAATGAAGAAGAAATTCAAGGGAAGATGCTGTGTATGTAACCTTATACATACTGAGTTTGGAGTATGGTGGAAGAGCCCAGCAGGTGATTGGAGATTTGAGCCTAAAGCTCTGAAAAAGACAGAAATAAAGATATGCTTCTAAAAACCATCTGCACAAAAATGTTAGCTGACACCAAGAGAGTGGATGACATGTATAAAGAGAAAAGAAGGAAGGCCTAATACTAAACTTGAGAGCTCTGACATATGGGAACAAAGGAGGAAGGGAAACCAACAAAGAGGAGGGGTGGGGAGGGAACCAACAAAGGGAAAAAACAATATGTGCAACCATTTGCTGTTTTATTAAAATGATTTCACAAACATTTGCACATCCCTGGCAAGCTCTATTCTTCTTGGCACTGCAGTGTTGCCTAATATAAAGATGATACAAATGCAAGCTGGAGATCACCACTTACCTTCTTGCCTCAATGAAGATTTTTTTTTTTAAAGCCCTAATTCCCCATCCTACCAGTTTTGCTCACCTTGAACCTAACCCAGCCAACATTAATCCTTTCATAATTTAGAAAAGTCTGTTAGGCTTATTCTTTTAAACAATCATGTATTGAGTATCTGTTACACATCCAGTACTCTGCTCAACAAAGTGTAAGTAAAAATCAATTTCCAATCATCAAGAAAATTAAAATCCCCTTGGATTAAAAAACCATTGAGCATAAAACAATTAAAGTTCAATAAAGAATTGACGTGTATGATTCACACCAAGTAGCATTTCATCCAATGAGAATTCATACCATTCAGCACATAGGTTTTTTTTTTCCTAGCTCAGATTGATAGAAGAGATAAATTCTACATAGGTGGACTTCCTATTAAATGCCCAATTATGCCACATGGTAAATTTGTCTTTACTTTTCTTTCTTCCCTGCTGTTCTCAATAATCTTTGAACATAGTAATCATTCAAATGTTTGATATATGTGTGAATGAATCAGAAGCTAAGCAAAGTCCAGAGCAACTGTCAATGTTCTTAACTCTCTTCTAGGGCAAATCTCAAAAGTTTTAGGTTCAAAGTCTTGACCCAGGGAATGGTTGGTATTAAAGACATGGTGCTGAGTGCTAAGGTAAAAGCTCAGAAAAAAAAAAAAAAACCTGGAAAATCCTAAAATGCTTTTAGAAAAGAGGAAAAAAGAAGGTTCTAGCAAAATTCCTGAAACATAAAATGTGTTCAATTAATCCCCAATAGGGGTTGTGCAGGAGGCAGCCAATCAATGATTCGCTCTCATCATTGATGTTTCTATCTCTTTCCCTCTCTGAAATATATATATATATATATATATATATATATATATATATATATATATATATATTTGTGTTCATTAAATGTTTATGAGTGAATGAACAAATGACAGCTGAGGAAAGATAGTGAGCTCAAGAAGAGACCAAACTCGGGGAGCATACATGACAGATGAGGCTGTATTTAAAGCCCTCTCTAGCAGAAACTCCAAAGAATTTACTTCCTAATGGCAATTATGTCCATTTCTATGGGTTAATTCTCCAGCGTAACCCCTTCTTCACTACTCTCAAACTCCCTTTATAGGAAAACAAAACCTCAATCCCACAATCAGCGGGGACTCCCAAACTCAACTATACATACTCATCACCTAGAGATTTTTGTTAAAATGAAGTGTCTGAATTATTACATCTGATGAGGCCAGAAATTCTGCATTTCTAACAAACTGGGGCTATGATGCTGGTCCAGAGACCACACTTTTAGAGTGTCAAGAGCCTGAAGACATTACAGAGAATATGTAAATAATCTTAAAGCTGTGAGTAAACTACCTCCTGCTCCCACATTTCCTAGTTGTACAACAAGCATATGAAACTCGTAGCCAGTGGGTCACATGCAGCCCACACGAATATTTTTTCAGCCCAACCAATATAATGGTATGTAAAAAAAGTTTTTTTAATAAAAATTTTGTAACTTAATTTTTACCATATCCAGTTATACACAATCCTATAAAATAAAAGGGAGTTCAACTGGGAGACCAGGAGTTCAGGAGTTGGATCACTCGCTATGACGTGCACTGACCACCAGGGTGCGGTGTGGAACATGGCGGTGACCAGTGTCATTAGGGCGCTGAGGGAGCAAGGGAAGGAGGAGGCAGGGAGGCCAGAAGGTGGGAAACCTGATTGACCCTGATTGCTGGCCAGGCCTAGGGATCCTACCCATGCATGAATTTCATGCACAGAGCCTCTAGTTATTAATAACTGTGAAAGAAAAGAGCCACAAGCTAACCTGACAAGCTCAGGGAAGGCCTGTGTGGCAGTTTTGCAAACCCAGAGACCTAAGATAACCACAAGAGATGGTCTGAAAATTAAATATCTAACATGTTATAGTAGGTAGTCATGTCCCAGAGATTTCACCTGACAAAGATCAACTTTGATCTTTTACTGAGCCCCTCTGCCTTCCTGCATCTAAGATAACATATCTGTGAGACGTCTGGGTAACTTGTAACTTCCCTTTTTCCGGAGCCCCTGGGGAACAACCAAATGTGGTGGGCACCAGGACAGATGCCTCAAATTCCTTCTTTATCATGTTAATTGTTCCTGCACTCACCTGAGTATACATTCATCATTTTACTTTTATCCAATCCCAGAAGTTTCCCACCGCTTTGCTTTCTCCCGCCTCCTTACTCCATCACCAATGAATTTCATGTAACCCACCTATGTCCCTCCTTTGATTTCGGTGTATAAATAGAGAAATGTAATCCACCATTCTTCGGAGCACTATCTCAATCTGTTGAGGTTTTGCTTCCCGGCAATTGTCGACATTTTTGGCTCAAATAAACTCATTACAAATTTTTTTACAAGTTTCAATGGTTTTTTTCGTTAACATAACAAACTACAATGTTCAATAATGACTGATTACTATCATGTTGCATTCATTTCCCTTACATGCCTGGTGAGCAGGCTCACCATTTCTCTCCACTAATATAGCAGCAAATATTTTAGCAGCCAATTGCATATCATTAGTCATGAACTTGTTTGGTGTGTGCAACATGCAATATTTCCCTTTCAGTGAACAAGAAAAATAGGTTAATTTGCATTATACTTAATAATTTGTGCAGTTATTTAGTGTCTGCTAAGAAAAAATATTTTTTTATTAAAACGTTTTATGTTAACAATCACTCATTTATTTCAGCCCTTTGTATTCAGCATGTCTCTATCGAAATAAACGTTTCTATGAAAATTGAAGCTTTTGGTTTTTTGCGGCCCACATAAACGTAAACCTTATTTGGCCCATGTTAGCCTTTGAGTTTGACATGCTTCCTGTACAACCTTAGACAAGTCATTTTACCTCCCTGAGTCTTCCTTTGTCCTCAGAGGAATATGGTGAATAACAACAGCTAAGCCTTACTGAGTGCTTACCATGTACGAGAAACTGTTTCATATTCATCAACTTATGAGTAGGACTTAAACAACCTGTCCAAGGTGGTTACAGTAACCCTAGTTCTGACTCTAGATCCTAGTGTTTTAATCACCGTGTAAAACTGCCTCTTCAGCTTAGCTCTCAGAGTCTTGATGAAAATTAAATAATAACTGGTATGCAGCTAACATTTATTGGGCACTTACAAATTCCAGGACCTAGCCTTACCTTGCTTGGAAGCATATTAACTCAATTTATCTTTTTACTAGTCCTAGAAGATTACAACGTTGGTTTTTGTTGTTGTTGTTGTTGTTGTGTGGTTTTGTGTGTGTGTGTTTTTAAGATTACAGATTTTAAAATAGACTGGTGTGGTTCAGTGGCTGAGTATGGACCCATGAACCAGGAGGTCACCTTCCGGGGTTGTGGGCTCGATCCCCAGTGTGGGGTGCGGGGAGGCAGCCGATCAATGGTGCTCTCTCATCATTGATGTTTCTTCCCCCCCCCCACCCCCTTTCACCGCTGAAATCAATTAAAAATATATATATATTTTAAATAGGCCCAGAGAAGTTAACGCTGAAAAGTCACACAGCGGCACAGTCAGGACTGGAACCAGCCGGGCGCGCACGCAGCCCAGACTCGGAGCTGCGGGCTCGGCCAGCGGGTGGGCGGGCTCCCACGCTCCGGGGTCCGAGAGCCCCGCGGGCGAACCCAGTCCGCACTGAGCTCCACGTGCCTGCGGGGCGTGTCCTTCTCCGCCCTCACCCCACCAACGGGCCAGGGCTCTGGTGACACAGAATCTGTCCAGTCTCCAAAAGGGCTGACTGGCCAAGCACATTTTCACCGACATCCTGACAGAACCGCTCGGGAACCCCACACTCCGCGGGCCCATAGCTCCGCCCACCTGCGCCGCCGCCACGGCCGCCGCCTCCGGGGGAGCCGCGGTCCCCGCTGGATCCTGGAATTTGTAGTCCGGGTTCTCGCGCCCGCTCCGCCCCATCCGGGCACGAGCCAAAAGGGCCGCGTCGAATCCCATCTCCTCGCCAACACCGCCCTCTGCCGGCCTCGCCTCCAGTTGCCCGGATTATGTGGCACTTCCGGTTGCTCCGGAAGTAGACGCTTTCTCTTCCGGGGTGAGCGTCTGGGCTCTCTGCACGTGGATGTGTTGCCCCGGCTTGAGCCGGCGCTGGCGGAAAGAAGTTATTTGGGTTGTTTTACCGGATCTGGTGAGCGGAGCCGGGGGCCATGGAGGGCCAGAGCGTGGAGGAGCTGCTGGCCAAGGCGGAGCGGGACGAAGCCGACAAGTTGCAGCGCATCACGGTGCACAAGGAGCTGGAGCTGGAGTTCGACCTGGGTAACCTGCTGGCCTCCGACCGGAATCCTCCCACGGGCCTGCGGCACGGGGAGCCCACCCCGGAGGCCGAACTGCGGGCCTTGGCGCGGGACAACACGCAGCTGCTCATCAACCAGCTGTGGCAGTTGCCCACGGAGCGCGTCGAGGAGGCGCTGGTGGCGCGGTTGCCGGAGCCCACCACTCGCCTGCCGCGCGAGAAGCCGGTGCCCCGGCCGCGGCCGCTGACACGCTGGCAGCAGTTCGCGCGCCTCAAGGGCATCCGTCCCAAAAAGAAGACCAACCTGGTGTGGGACGAGGTCAGCGGCCAGTGGCGACGCCGCTGGGGCTACCAGCGCGCCCGCGACGACACCAAGGAGTGGCTGATCGAGGTGCCCGGGAGTGCCGACCCCTTGGAGGACCAATTCGCCAAGCGCATTCAGGCCAAGAAGGAACGGGTGGCCAAGAACGAGCTGAACCGGCTGCGCAACTTGGCCCGCGCGCACAAGATGCGGCTCCCCAGCTCGGCGGGCATGCACCCCACGGGACACCAGAGCAAACAGGAGCTGGGCCGCGCCCTGCAAGTGGCCAAGGTCTCCACCGCGTCCGTGGGGCGCTTTCAGGAGCGCCTGCCCAAGGAGAAGGTCCCCCGGGGCTCCGGCAAGAAGAGGAAGTTCCAGCCTCTCTTCGGGGACTTCGCAGCGGAGAAGAAGAGTCAGTTGGAGATGCTGCGAGTCATGAACAGCAAAAAGCCTCAGCTGGACGTGACGAGGGCCACCAATAAGCAGATGAGGGAGGAAGACCAGGAGGAGGCGGCCAAGAGGAGAAAAACGAGCCAAAAGGGCAAGAGAAAGGGGGGCCGGCAGGGTCCTGGGGGCAGAAGGAAAGGGGGTCCGCCCAACCAGGGGGGTAAGAGGAAAGGAGGCTTTGGAGGCAAGATGAATTCCGGGCCGCCCGGCTTGGGTGGCAAGAGGAAAGGAGGGCAACACCAAGGAGGGAAGAGGAGGAAGTAAAGTTGACCCTCTGACCCACTACCTTAACATTTAGGTATGCTAAATGTTAAGGCCCAAGTCCTGTAGGGGCTGCAGAAGGCGGCCACCGCCTTCATTGAGGTTGAAGGGATAGTATTACCTTCCTTCCCCTCAAGATCCCATGTTGGACTTTACAAATTAATGTTTTTCCAGTAATCATGTCTTTGGCTGGAGATTCAAAGGATGTATTTTTTTATTATTATTAACGTTGGATGTGGTATGAGGGACAGTTCATATTTGAGACAAAATAGTATGAACAGCTTTATTTTTGTAACAAGCTTGTGTATCTATCAAAGTAGCTGGGAGCACACAGATTTCAGAACTGACCTTAAAAGTAATTGTTGTGAAGTTATTTAATAAAAGTGTGTCTGTATCTAATGTTGCTTTTATTGTTAAGTAAAGCCAGTGACCTGGATATCTGGCACATATTATTTTCCTTTACTTTCTAAAAAAGCAGCAAACTTGTGATTTTAGCAGCACCACTGTTTAAAAAAAAAAAAAAATTTAGTATCAGATTCAATATTAAAGGTTTTTCTGAAAAAAGATTTCCTGCTTTTCAACACAACATTTTGATTTGCTTGCTGTAAATGGTAAGTTTGGGTATAACTGAATAACGGTAATAATTGTCAATAATCCAGAAAATGCTTAAATCTTTCTCAACATTTATGTCCCCAATTTTTTTAAAGCTTCAAATGGGAGCTGTTTTGGGAAGACAGCCTACAAAATTCTTTTTGTCAAATTGGCCTGGAGCTGGTTTGTTTAGGTGTTGAAATTTTATTGCCATTCTTGTCTATTCTCCCTAATAAATATCTCCTGAAAAGTATTCCTAATAGATCTCAAATCCAGGGGGTCTTTTTTTGCTGCTATTACAGAGCTGAGAGCCATTATACTCTACTGTTTGGCCTGACAATTGATAGGAAATTAAAATTGGGAATTCGTTTTTTTCAGTGTTGTCTCATTTTAATAAGGTTACTTTAGAAATTGCTATGAAAGAAAATAGATTTTATACAGGTTTACTTAAGGCACTTACTTGTTCAGTCATTACTTAGGATACTTTCTGATTAAGTTAAAAGTTGAACTTTTCTAAGTTGATCATTGATCAACTTTCCCACTTGGACATGGTACACTTGGGGCTGCTAAGCCCTCCCAGGGTATATCATTTAATGGAATCCCTAAAGCCATTCAGGGAGCATTTACTCTTTAATCCTCACCCGAGGATGTTGTTTGTTTGTTTATATTCCTTAGAGAGAGGGAAAGACAAATCAATTAGTTGCCTCCTGCACGCCTCCACCAGGGCCTGGGCTAAGAGGAGCCTGCCACCGAGGTATGTGCCCTTGACCTGATCGAACCCGGGACCACCCTTCCTTCTGCAGGCCAGTGCTCTATCCACTGGGCAACACCTGCTAGGGCTAAATGGAGTGTGTTAATTTTTTTTCTGAAAATAAGAACTCAAGTGTAGCATTTTAAAGAAATTACTGAGGAAAGCATAGCCTTGTTTTTTCCCTTTGCCCACATATGAAAGAGGGTTTGAAGCAGATACTCAAGTATCCAAGCCCCTACGGAGCAGTTCCCTCTCTGGCAGTTTCCAAGGTGGATGGGGAGACCCAGTTGGAGCGCTGAGCCACCCTCAGTGCCAACCACGGGGTCTGGCCCGCTGAGGGCGGGCGGGGAGGAGGGCGCGGCGGCGATTGGCCCGCGGGGGGGCGGGGCCGCGGGGCCTGATCGCGCAGCCATGGCCGCGGCCCGCGCGCGGGTAGCGCACCTCCTGGAGCGGCTGCGGCTCGCAGCGTGAGTGCGGGGCCGGCGGGCGGGCAGGGACCCGAGGGTGCCGCCGCGCCCACACAGCCCCCTGGGTGCGATCCGCCCCGCCCTGCGCATTGGTCCTCGGGTTACCTTGGGGAAGGGGCTCCCGCCGGGTGGGACTGCGGGGTAGGATGGTGCCTCGCCTCCGCACCCCGCGCCGGGAGGCAGGCTTCACCCTGGTCTGTGTGCCCGTAAGGAAATTAAGACCAATGACAACAGCGCCTGGTCCTGCGTCGTGCCAGGCAGTGGAGGGGTGGAGGGCTTGGCACAGTGACCGAGACAAATGCTTGTATCCATCAATACATTTATACCCGGGGCAGGGGATGTGCCAAACATTGTTGCAGGAGCTGGGGATGCAGAGATGGAAGATTCTGGAGCAGGTTAAAGTCTAATAGGATATTGGATGAAGGGACAGGGATTGTAAAAGGGGCCTGTGTGGAATGCAGCCGATAGGGTATAGAAGAGAAAGAAGGACTTGATGCCAGTACGTTAAGAGCCACGACATGCCTGACTCTCTCCATTAAGGGAATGTCAGGTGCATAGCAGCCACCTGGTAAAAATACTTGTTGAATATGCAAGTGCAAGAGTGGGCCAGGGAAAACATGGAAATTTTAAAGCACAGAGGTGGGGATGAATAAGGAGGGATGGGGACTAAAGAGGAATTTCAGGTAAAAGGAGAGCAGCACCAGAGACAAGAAATGCAGAAAAATCTAGACCTCCCTTCATAGGAGGAAGTGAGGATGGAGAAGATGGGGAGACTGCAGTTGGAGCACTGGACATTGTGACCAGTTGAGGCAGGTGGGCACGAGGGAGAAGTGAGGATGGTAAAAGACCATGAGTAGAAAATTGAATTGATTGGGCACTTACCATGTGCCAGGCATTTTACACATATTATTAATAGTAACTCTAATCCTACAACAACCCTATGCAATGATGTATTATCGTATCTAATAAAGAGGGAATATGCTAATATGGACCATCACTCCATCACAAAGATGGCTGCACCCACAGCTGAGGCCAAGTTCCCATAAGGAGCCTTAACGAGCAATCAGCAGTGACCTGAGGCTACCCCCCCCACCCTCCCCTGCCCCCGTGGGGCTTGACAGGGGACCTCAGGCTGCATCCCCCACCCAGCAGGGATTGACAGGGAACCTCAGGCCATGCCCCCACATCCTGGCATCAGGCTGCCTCCCCCCTCCAGTGCCAGGCCAGGGGACCTGAGGTCATGCCTCCTGCCCAGCAGGGCTTGATGGGTACTTCAAGGAACACTTACCGTGCTGGTGCTGGGCTAGGGGACCTCAGGCTGTTTCCCCCACTGCAGCACAGACCAGGGGACCTGAGGCTGTGCTCCCCACCAGGTGCGTCTTGACAGGGGGCCTTAGGCCTTGCCCCCACCCAGCAGAGCTTGATAGGGGATCTCGGGCTGTGTCCCCCACCTGGCAGGGCTTGATGGAGGACCTCAAGGCACACCCCTACCCCAGTCGGGGCTGGGGGACCTCAGGCCATGCCACCCCCATCCTGGCTCTGGACCAAGGGACCTGAGGCTATGCCCCCTGCCTGGCAGGGCTTGACAAGGTTGGGACTGGCCAGATCTGGATCTAGCCCAATGGGGGTGGTGGTGAGGGGAAGGGAGGCCGGGTCAGGGTCTCACGTGATTTTGAGGTGGGTGGGTGGGGACTTGATTTTGGGTCCCATAGTGTGCCCCAGACTCTGACAGGAGGAAGGTTTTCATATACATTTTACTGATTTTCTTTCATCTCTGACACTTCTATTATAGAGAAAGGTCAAATAGCAATATTAAATTATTTCCCCTAATGAATCCCCTTTTAATGTGCACGAATTTCATGCACCAGGTCACTAGTCTATATTATAAAAGGCCTGTGGACCTAACGCCGTAATGACCATAGACTGGCATGGATAGGCGGGGCTGCGTGATTTTGCATGCTGGGCTTCTAGTATCCTCAGATTACAGGTAGAGCAATAAAGACATGGAGAAGTGAGGATGCAACAGGGACGCTGGGACTTAGGAAGACAGCAGCAGATTGCGGGGTGCAAGGCGAGGAAATGGTGCCAGCAGATATCGGTCAGGAGCACAGAACCAGAGAATGAGCAAGCCAAGGGAAAAGGAGGTTGAGTTCTAAGCATGAAACTCTTAACCATGATATGACAAGGACCAAGGGAGGGGAAGGACTAGGAAATACAGGGTTGATGGAGGCCCCCAGAAAGCAGGAGGAGATGGGATTCAAAGCACCCGTACGGAGTAGAAAGGATGAATTGAGGTAGCCTCAGAACTATATATAATAATAAAATATAAATGAAAAATATAATATAAAAAGAGAAGGGGTGGGGAGGCAGCCTGTGCTCCCATGATCCTGGGCATTAGAAAGCGTTGAGTTTGATTTTTTTTCCCTTTTGCCTCTCTGTTCTTGGAGGGCATAAAGCTCACGGTGGCCTTGCCTGCTTTCATTTCTCCTGCGGGAGTCTGCTGCTGGCTCAGACTTATAGCTGGGATGCTCTAGGACAAGCACATTAAACTCCCGGCCCCTGGCCACTTGTGGCCCACAACGAATATTTTTGTGGCCCAGCCAATATCACGGTGTGAGCAGTTATTTACAGTGATGAAAGGAAATAAGTCTCCTGTCAGATCCAGAATTACTGACACTCGCCTTGGGTCAGTTTTGAAAGCAATCACTGCGAACAAGATTTTCCCCAAAGGAGGAAAGATAGTAGCAGAGAAGAGATGCCAAGTGTCAGGAAGAAAACATTAATGTTATCTTTGCTCCTGTTCTTTTGTTTTTATACTATGCTTTTCAATGAAAATTGAAACTCTTGGTCCACATAAACTTGAACCTTGTTTGTTTGGCCTCTATTAATTAGCCTTTGAGTTTGACGTGCTTGCTCTAGGAAAACCCATAGCACTTGGTGTGCTCAGGAGTGCCCACCAGATGGCAGCCTTGATTCATGGTAACGCTCACACTCGCCTCCCATGTAGTTTTTGACTGCAATTCTTAGTTTTTGAGATCTTGACTACCACTGAGTTCAACCCTTTTCTTTCTCCTTCTTCCTCCTCAGATGAAGGACTCTGAGTCCACTTTTTTCCATGGTGATGTCTATTTTTTTCTATGTACAGTGTTTGCCAATAGCTAATACTTTTGCTAGCATTTTAACACTAAGGCTGCAGAATAAATTACTTTGAGACTTCTTGCCTTTTGGTTTACTTTACATTTTTCTTCTTTTCTTTTTCTTAGATGTCAGTGTCCAACTCATTCTCATACTTACTCCCAAGGTAATAATATATTTTGTGTTTTTAAACTAACCACACTCTCCATTTCCACAATTGGCACTCCAATACATTTGGGCAAAGGGTAAAGCAAGAAAATCAAAGGATGTAAAAAGGAAGTTGATGAGAATGACTGCCTTTTCACTTGAAAATGGCAATATGTAGTTCTAATTATATGATGTTAGTTGAATATACGCTACAGATTATGTTTTTGGCATATATATATATATATAAAATGCTATTTTTTAATGTATTTCTGTTTTAAATAGAATTATTTGCCAAAGCTAAAAAGGATGCCACAGATAGGATCTTAAGATTGTCTGAAAGCATCAAACAGAATTCATTAAGATGAAATCTTTGGAAGGTTCTAATACATCTCAAAAAAAAGAAAGGGGCTAACGACCAAGGTGCTTCCCAGAAGGGAAAATCTTGCATATGTTAATTTTCTAAATAGAATTCTATTTCTTAATAATTAAAAATAATGACCAGAGTTTTCACTTCCCACAAACATCTTCATCCTCACCAGCTCCATTGTCCACGGAGCAGCAGGAAGCTCATTGTAGCTTCCGCGTGTCCTCAGCATGTCACATGAATTATTGACACAAACACGGATTTCACCTCTTTGAAGAAAAGGTCAAATCTCAACAGTTATACAAGGGATGAAAAGGAGGGGGCCTCACCAAACAGGACCCTCAGCAGAAACCCCAAAGAAGCCCACTGGGAGTGGAACAGATACAGAAGTGCTTTGCCTGCCCATGGAACCACTCACTCTTCAGGACAAGCCAGGGGACCGCCCATTCACTAACGGCCATCTACCAAGCCAGAGCCTCGCAGGCCCTCGTGAACATGTGCAGAATTTCGTCTTCAGCCGGTTTTATCCCATTCTTACGGGGTTTCATCAAAGATTCAGGAATTTCCTGTTTGGGTGAATAAAATTAATAGTTTAGGGGAAGTTCACTTCATGGCTTAATAGGATCCAATTTATGTGTTTTCCTAATCTTTTGTCACAGAAGTAATCGATTGTTTTTTTTTTAAACCTATAGAGGTCAAAGAACTTCGGATTTTCATTCAGGAAACTGGAGTTAGATTGTTGTCTAGTTGTGGTCTCTTTTCTTTTTTTTCAATCTTATGACTAACCAGGCCTGATTAAAAATAAGCAGATAAAAACAAGGATAAAGTTCATTTAGTGGGGTCCTCTTGTTGTTTCAATATGACAGGAAAAAAATTTTTTCCCTAACTACAACTGTTGCAAAGAAGTATCATTTTGTAAAAATTTTTATTAAATTTCACCAAGAAAACTAAAACTTTTATACTTACTAGCTTGAGAAATAGAAATATCTTACTGTGATAAGTAACCTCCATGGAAAAATATTAATTGAAACAAATTGTCACAGTTGCTATAAGAAATGTAAGCAAGACTCTGATTAATGAATTTACTAAGAGTTGTTCTCTAACAATAACCCAGTTCTAGAGTCCAGAAGATTTTTTTTCTAGAACTTTACTCATGTTTTTAAAAGTATATTTTAATCTCAATGGATAAAATATTTTAAGTAACTTTATTTTCACACAATCAGCATCAAGTTAGCATTACAGTCTCTTAAAATGCAGGTTTTCATTTTAATTTTACATGCAACAATGAAACCAAAAAAGTGTATTTTAGGTAAGGCTTCAGGGGAGATGCTTGCGTTCGCTGCTAGAATATCAATTTACCATCAAATAATATTTTGCCTTGTTTTTGAGGTCTACTCTGATATTGAGTTTTACATTTCTAGCTCCTGGGCTTCCACCTTCTGGAAAAACAACAGATTATGCCTTTGAGGTAAAGTAATCTGTCTATTCTTTCTTTTATGGATTACCTAAAAAAATACAACTAGAGTATTTTGCTAATGCATCATTATCTCATTTGAAATCTGCTATTAATTAATGTCCCCCAATCTCACTATTTGATCTGGCCCTACTTAGAAAAGTACCCTGTTAGAATAACAGACTATAAATCTTCTAATAACATGAATAATGTCTAGATACTGTCTTCTGTTACAGCCATTGAAGTAAAACAAATTCCCAGTTCTAGGCAACTTATTGCTTTCCATATGTTGTACGTTAAATCTTCTTTAGCTTCGTAAGTATAGTCCCCAAAGGGGTCCATGTATCTTTTGACACAAGAATAAAGGAACAATGAATTCTGATGAATTTTTATCACACTGTAATTACAGAATTGCGTGTCTAAGTCCAGTCTCCTCCTGGTTCGGGACTCATAAATTAAATGTCTCAAGTGGCCTGATGGTTAACCGTCCAAAAGCAGGCTGGGTGAGGACAGAGCTGAGTTCTCTGGGAGCACAGGTCCCTCTGGAGGGTGCAGCCTCCACTCAACCCCATTGCTGCCATCTGGGGAGTTATTCACGAGAGATCAGACAGTCACACTGGATATGTTTACCCCGATTGTTAAGAGTTGTGAGACAATTTAAAACAGGAGAAATCTAAACATAATGTGGATCAAACAAAACATGTCTTTGGGCCCTTCTATTGAGTGGCCCTTCCATCCTATCAGTATAAAAGTTCTTCTCTTAGCTGTAAACATTATGGGGCTACTTTTTCTTGTTCCTAATTGTATAACCAGAACCTAGAACTATGCCTGGAGTACAGCAGGCACTTAGTGGCATTGAGTGGATGGAAGACTGGGAGCGTGGGTAGATGGATGGATGGATGGATGGATAGATACATGCATGCAAAAAAAGTTGGATAGATGAATGGTTGGATGGATGAATGTATGGGGTGAGAAATACATGAGGAATCAGCATTTAAATTGGAAAATAAGAAGAAATTTGAGAGGTAACTTATTTGTAGAGATAAGGAAAGGCAGGCAACAATTGAAAGTTCATGATATGTTTGGGAAAATATAAGTAATTCCAGTGCTTAAAGAAATATGATGAGTCTGAGACCAGATGGAGTGACCTGGAAGTATATATAAAGAATTTATACTTTATTTTATAGGCAATGAGGAGCCATTTCAAGCTTTTAGAAATGAAATGGCCAATCTCCAACTCACCCATCCCCAAATCTTTTTCTTTTTTTTTTTCAGATGGCTGTTTCAAATATTAGATATGGAGCAGGAGTTACAAAGGAAGTGGGAATGGCAAGTATTTAAGATTTCTAGAGTCTACTATAAAGGTTACATATCTTCCAAAACAAGTGAAAATGCACAAGAGATCAGGCCTTTGTTTTTTAAAGTGTTTAATATTTCCTGACCAGTGTGGCTCAGAGGTTGAATGTCAACCTGTGAACCAAGAGGTCATGGGTTCAATTCCCAGTCAGAGCACATGCCCAGGTTTCGGGCCCCATCCCCAATAGGGGCCGTGCAGAAGGCAACCAGTCAATAATTCTCTCTCATCATTGACGTTTCTATCCTTCTCCCTTTCTGAAATCAATAAAAAATATATTTAAAATAAAAATGTTTAATATTAAGTTGGCCAGAAGTGTCTGTTATACTTCTAGTGTAATCAAACCCAACTTACACATTATTTTTGTTATTGTAGGACCTACAAAACATGAATGCTAAAAATGTTTGTTTGGTGACAGACAAGAACCTCTCCCAGCTCCCTCCCGTGCGAATAGTTATGGATTCTCTCGTGAAAAATGGCATAAACTTTAAGGTTTATGATAATGTGAGGGTGGAACCAACTGATAGAAGGTACCTTTTCGTTGTTGTTTTTTAAGTGGAAGCCAACAACTTACCACTATGGTTTAAAATTTGCCCCAAGAGTTACTTAGTGGCATGTCAGTTTATGTTTGAAAATTATGACAATGGTTTCCGTTTTTCTTCCTCACAGTTTCATGGAAGCTATTGAGTTTGCCAAAAAGGGAGCTTTTGATGCCTACGTTGCTGTGGGTGGTGGCTCCACCATAGACACCTGTAAAGCCGCTAATCTGTACGCATCCAGCCCTCACTCCGATTTCCTAGATTATGTCAGTGCTCCCATTGGGAAGGGAAAGCCTGTGTCTGTGCCTCTTAAGCCTCTGATCGCAGGTAAAGGCTGTCTTTTGTTTGTTCGTTCGTGCATGCATTCGTTTTGGTTTGCAATTGGCAAAAGGCCTTAGGAAATACTCAAGCCAGGAATTTTAGGGTATGTCTTTCTAAAACTTTCTGATTTCTTCATTTCAGTGTCCTACCTTGTGTAGGGATCAAAACAGATAGCAGTTCATTTATGTTTAAAATTCTGATCTTCCTTATTGTACCAATATAGACAATTGGGTCAGTTGGTAGGAAAGTTTGCAGAGTGAAGTTAGGAAGTCACTATGTGAAAGGGAAGGAAGGTCATCATTTATGTATTATTAGATCCCTCTATAGACAGCTTTGTCTTTTAAATCCCTCTCTGTTTTGTCCCATTTTGCCAGTCGCTGTGGAATTTAAGGGGAATATTCACTATTATTTTTCTGGTGTTGACTCAACCCTTTCCTCCACATAATGGCTCTTCAGCTGACCTGAGGCTCTGTCTCTGCCCTGGGACAGATGGCCAGCACGGCTGCCTCGCTCTGGGAGACATCTGCTCACGGGGCACAGACACTCAACCCCAAATCAGCAGAGCTTGTCTGTGTCACACCGGCCACGGCCTCTTTCTGTCTTTTCTTCCCTCTCATTTTATAGCTGTTAGCAGATCACTGTTTAAAGTCTTATAGCTAAGATGTACTGACCGGTCCCTGGAAATATCAGTTTAAAGTCTTGTCCTTGCTCTGCTCCCCTCTCCTGCCCTCACCGTGAAACAGGTCTTGTGATGGATTAGGAGTGAGTTGATGGCAGATGAGCCGTTTTGATGGGAATGAGCAATCAGCAGGGAGCAGCGTAATTGATGTCTGGGGAATGGAACCCTCTGGTGAAACTGTGTCAGCATCACACAGAAGGGTGATTAGTGAAGTTTAGAAACTTGACAGAATGACAAAACCGCAAGCCCAGCAAAGGCAGAGCTTTACTGTGCTAGCTGCCAAGAGGGAATAAAGACATCTTTCAGGAGGCAAATACAAGTCTTCTTCCTCGAGATATCCAACTGCAGCTGCTTAAGCTCTGGCACCAGAGGAACCTGAGGTTCCCAGGGATCCTCACTGTTCATACAGAAACGTTAAACCTGCATGCGTGTTAATACAAAGGTGGACAGCATCCATACATGTAAACACAGATACAGATATCACATATCCACTTCAGAACGCACACACATGTTATACATGCATGCATGTTAATGCAGAATGGACGTTTTACCTGTTACACATGCATGTTCATGCTGACACTGGCATCATTTTATTGGACATGCATGTTAACTAATGCAGGCACATATATACATGTGAAGTATACATACATGTTAGTAGAGATACACACACCAGACAAGCCATGGGAGCAGCAAAGCTTCCTTCTAACTTAGCTTCTTATGTCCTAAGGCTGAATTAAGTATTGCCACTCGCCTTTATTTAGATGCTTTATTATTAATAATTCTTGTTATTTTGTTCAAGTCCCAACTACTTCAGGAACTGGAAGTGAAACTACGGGAGTTGCTATTTTTGACTACGAGCCTTTGAAAATAAAAATTGGTAAGAACTTTGCCCTTAACTTGTTAAAAGCTATTTTACCTTTCAAACCTAGTACCTTTCATTTAATCTTAATCTTTAGCCATCAAGGAGCTATATAGTTAAGGAAACGGTATATACATGTCCACATTTTCTTTCTTCTAACTACATGTGAAAATATGAAACAATCTAATGAACTTCTTTTTGAGAATTACCTAGAAAATATGTTGAAATGCCATGAATCTTGATTGGCTATTTCTCTGCACAAGTTAGTGACTATATGTCAATGATTGTTATTCCCTTTCTCGAACATCATTTTTGCATTTTAAATTAATTTCATTGAGATATAATTTTAAAAATATGTATTTTTTGTTGATCTCAGAGAGGAAAGGAGAGGGAGAGAGAGATAGAAACATCAGTGATGAGAGAGAATCATTGATTGCCTGGTTTCTGCATGCCCCCTACTGGAGATCGAGCCCACGACCCGGGCCTGGGCCCTTGACCAGAATTGAACCCGGGACCCTTTAGTCCACAGGCTGATGCTCTATCCACTGAGCCAAACCAGTAGGGCGAGACATAATTTTTATATAATAAAATGCATACATTTTAAGAGCCTGGTTTGATGGATTTTGACAAATATAGGCACCCATGTAATTACTACTCCAATCAAGATATAAAACATCAACCTAGATCAACCCTCCAGTCCCATTCCCAAATAACCACTGTTCTGCTTTTCATTTCCTTTGCCCTTTTAGCCTATCTTCTTCTCTGACTCTCAGCTGAGGTGGTAAAAAAAAAAGTCCCTCTACTTGACTCTGGCTCAATATCCTTCTTTCAGGCCTTGGTAGCAGAAAAAATTGACACTCAACAACATATTTATAGTAACTTCTCTTTTAAATTAAGTTACATTATCCTTTGACATCAGGAAATAATAGCTACCAACATTGAAATTCCACCTTACAATTTTTAAAAGACTTTTCCATTATGTTATCTAATGTGATCCTTACATCAGCTCAGTGAGGCCCTGTGATTGGATAGTCTAATCTCATGGAGAACTCAGGGAGACAAAGTGACTTGCCCAGAGATACATGGTAAATTGCAGAGCAAAGACCCACACCAGCTGTGAGCTAGTAAACCAGCTCTCTGGCATTTCATAATTAAATAAGCCCTGGTTTGTAGCACTTGCCGATTTCTGTGGTACAAATATTCCCACCGTAGTCAGTGATGCCACCCAACCTGCCCTTGGGAAGAGACCCACATACTTGGCTCCTGTGAACTGAAAAGAGCATCCTCTGCACTGAAAAACCCAGGTTTCTGACTCCAGATCTCTCTCCACGGCTCCTTGCAGCCTCTCTACATGAGAATGACTCTTACCTCATAATTTTTATACTTTGGGATAATTTGTTATCCTCACGTTATCTAATGTTTTTAAATGAAGTCCATGCCTATAGCCTCCCTTGGAAATCCCTGTCCTAGGCATTGGTTCCCGAGCCATCAAACCCACGCTGGGACTGATTGACCCTCTGCACACCCTGCACATGCCTGACCGAGTGGTCGCCAACAGTGGCTTCGATGTGCTTTGGTAGGTACCTGGAGGGGTATTTTCGGTACCTGGGTCTATGGACGGTATTTTGTTTTCTTTCTTTCTTTAACTATTTTTTAAAGAACAGTAAGCACCTTTATTACATGAGCTAAGATAGGAGGGGGATTTATTTGCTTTTCTGGGCCTTGATTTTCCTCAGCCGGGACTCCAGCTCCTTGCCCTCTAAGACATAACCGTCTCCTCAGCCAAGGCTGGTTGTGGAGTGATGCGTGCAAGAGGCCTGCCCTGTCTGAACTGCTCCTCTAGAAGACTGCTGATGGTGGCATTCTTTTCCCTTTCATCACATTTCTTCTGAATTTCCTTGGATCGCTTTTTGTTTAAAATCTCTTCCTCCTCGAGAGTCTGCTTGACCCCCTTTTTCCAGCCTGGAGGCAGTGCCTCGTGGGACTCGTACCCCTGTGGGTACCGTATTGTCAATGAGCAGGATACAGTTCTTTACTAGGGTCTTGGTGCAGACCAGTTCATTGTTGGATGCGTTCTAGACAACATCAGTGATCCTTGTCTTGTGTGTATAATACTCTGAGCCCCAGGAGAAGTTGCTCACGTCCAGCCTCAAGGCTCCCAACTTCTCGTTGCCTCTCCACACACCGACTGGGTGTGTATGGCAGGGGCCAATCGTAGTTTTGACACAGGATGTCCCAGCTCATGTTTTCACTTCTTGTGGTAGGGCTTTCTCTTGCCTCCGGTCTTGTGGCGCTTGTGCCAGTGGTTCAGAGAGATGCCCATGCTCAACACCAGCTAGAAAGAGTACAGTATTTTCTTACTGGAAGTACTTACTACGCATTCATTGATTAGCATGCCCCAATGGCGTGGGCTGTCATTATTCCTTTTCCTAGATGAAAACAAGGACACTGTTAGTGAGTAGGTTAGTGAATACGTGAGGCCCTGGGTGAGCCACAAACCTGCTGTTCAGGATGGACCATCCCTGCCACAGCTGTGGCCACGGACATGGCAAAAGGAGCCATGTCCTCACTGGTATGCCTTGTGGCTACACTAACCAGGGAGTGCCCAGGGATGCCACAGCACGGAAGAAAGCAGGGAGGGGAGCTGACATCCTCTGAGCTGGACCCTGCACACCCTGTCAGCACTTTATACACATATCACTTCACCACAGCTCTGTGCCAGGTGAGAACTCCCTTTGAGATGTTTAGCCACTTACCCATAGTCTATTGTAGGCTCCCTGGGCTTCAGCTCTGTGTGCGATGGCTTCCTAATCAGTGGCTTCTGCCATCGACCTCGCTTCTGAGCTCCAGGCCATTCATTCCAGTGGCTTCATGGAGGTCCCATGGGCACGTCACATTCAGCATGTCCCAAATTACCCTATTTCATCCATTTTCACACACACATTTTCTTCATATTCCAAATCTCAAATCAGAACATATTTCAAAATCTGCAGCATGGCAGTATCATTTTCTTCCTCAGTGGTACAGTTTTTAAATGGAAATTTGATAAAATCTTGGTAATTCTTTTAATTTCCAATAAGCGCCCCCCCCCCCATCACCACCACCACCAACATGCCCCGCAGCTTCTTCTCCTGAGTCGTCCCTTAATATAGTGAGCAGCAGGACCCAGGGTGGACATCTCCTTTCTCTAATGCCCACACCAGCCAGCAGAATCTCTCTTACATCTGTTCCCTCCTCTCGGGCCTCATTGCTCCCAGGTCTTACCTGGACAGTTGATTGCAGTAGTCTCCTCATCAGTCAGCCTGTTTCCATCCCATAGTCCTTCCTTCTGTCTTCCATGCTGGCCTCACCACGCTTGCAGAATCAACAATACACACACACACACACACACACATACACACACACACACATACACACCCTTCTACCTTACAATCTTTCAACCCTTTCTACCCAATGTCCAAATTCCTTTGGCCCTGGAATTCCCTAATGCTCTGCTCTTTATCTGTTTGGATAACTCGTCTTACAATTCTACCGGAGCATTCTCTCCCTGTTGGAACCTTTTCTGACCCTCACCTTCCCTTTCCTTAAGTACAACTGACCACTTTGCCCTTCGCTCTCCCCCACCGGGGGGCCTGTACATTGCTTCTGACACACCCCTCTCTTCAACATGCCTGTCTCCCTCAGTGCATGTGAGCTTGGTAAGGGCAGAACCATCTTACTCACTTATCTGTCCATGCCCCTTGCAAACCAACTGTCACTCCATAGGTACTCAATTAATAGCTGTTGAATGAAGTTCACACAAGCAGGAGGCAGTAGAGGAAGGATTCAAATCCAGGTTTCCAAATCCATGGCCTGCTTTTTTCACTACATTATGCTGCCTACTAAAAAAAAACTGGAGAAAGTTGTGTTCAACTCCTTCCTGGTCAAAGTTGTCAGTACTTTGAAGCATTATCCCCTAACAACTTGGAAATAAGATTACCCTCCCTAACTGGAAGCTACATAATAAATTTATAATGGCCCAACGCAGTCACCTTTAAGTGAATAGCTCAAAGGCCCAAAGACTTCGCTGTCAATCCAAAGGAGGGGAGGGTGTTCAGAAGAAAGAATGATGGTAGTTGCCCTTCTACGTATTTTCCAAGGAAGAGAACACCTGCCCTGAGGAATCTGCCCTGGGGTCCCCGTGGCCAGTTCTGAAGATGGACACACCCGTGAATTCAACCTTACAGGCAATTCCCTTGGTTAGGACTTCATGGGGCCAACTAGTGGGATGCATTGTGGTTATCAGTACCACATAGCATATCCACAGTGGAGTGAGTACGTTTCCAAGACAGTTTATAATCTTAATGGAGGGGGGGAAGGAAGACCACATTTTCAACCTGTGTGTTTTAACTATTTCTTGTTAGCCATGCCCTGGAATCCTACACTGCCCTTCCCTACCACATGCGGAGTCCCTGCCCTCCAAATCCCATCTCTCGGCCAGCCTACCAGGGCAGCAACCCAATCAGTGACATCTGGGCAGTCCACGCACTGCGGATCGTCGCCAAGTATCTGAAGAGGTATGCTACCCAGAGGGAATAGAAATAGAACAAAAACAAACAAACAAACAAACAAAAACACATTCCACCCTCATGTAAAATGTACCATGCCAGATCCTGACATGTCCTAAGTCTGTTCACCAAAAGGTCAGCCAGTGGATGTAGAGAAGCCTCAGAAAGATTCTGGAAAGATGAGAGGGATTGAGGGGCAGGAGGTGCAGCTAAAAACTGGGTTCTTCATTCTGAAAAGGGTAAAATAGGAGTCCCTCATTGACTAAGGAAGCAGATACAAGGTTTGTTCATTGACGCCTCAAAAGCAAAGCTAGGATGAGGAGAGATGTCCTTTGAGATTTGGCTACCAGTGCCAGACAAGAGAACCACAGAGGCAGATGCTGGCTGTGCCCATCTGGGCCCTGGGCAAAGGCACACAGAATGAGCACACTGGGAGGAGCTAAATATAAGAATTAAATGTGTGGAGTTGTCTGTCCCAGGAGACACAAAATGCTTCCTAAAGGTTATGAAAGATTTATGAATGACATAGCCATAACAGGCTCCTGGGAGAATAAATACATACTAGAGATGAAAGCTGATCTCTGAGACATGAAGACAGCTGCAAAGTCAGACTCATAAGGGAGGTTCGGCGTTATGAGTCTAAGGGGAGGTAATGAGTGAGGGGAAGTTAGTCCCCTCACACAGCCGGTTAGGCCTAGATGTGAGCTGGAAGCTGCTCTGGAGCGGTGACTGAGCCGGGGAAGGGGACACAGAACTATTTCAGGCCCAGGGACCTTTGGGAAGCAGAGAAGCATCTGACTGACAACTGTCCGAGGTGTGTCTGGGCAGGAGCGGAAGGCAGGAGCAGCAGTGGGAGGTGAGGGGGTAAAACGGACAGAGGAAAGGCTAAATCGCCATCATTTACTATTTTACCTTGTTATTCGGGGAACACAGCGCGAACACTGGGTTTTGGAAAGGAGACTCAAACGCCTAACCATTTCAAATGAAAGTGGGGGAAACGCTGTGGCACTCTCATTTCATAACAGGAACCCTTAGCTCCAGGAGAAATCGCAAAAAAAAAAAAAAGCAAGAGGGAAGTGGTTTGCTTGGCAGTCTCAGGCTTCCTCCTCAGGACAAGCAGCGAGCTGCATCTGAAAGGGGCCTTTGAGAACTGGCTTTTCCAAAGTGGCACCGGGGACGAATAGAGCCAGCAAAAGCTTGTCCTGCAATAACATCCCGCTTCCACAATAACAAATATTAAAATAACATGTGCCGTCTCTACAGATGACAAAAGAGGTCCCCCGTGGGGTCCAGTCAGGGCGGTGTCACGGGAAGAAAGATGGCTGGGCGGGCTGCAGGCAGCCCCAGGCGACAAGGTCTCGGGTGCCATGAAGCAGTCTGGGCCCTGTGCACTCCGAGTGCGTGTTTACTCTCAGCCATTCACAGCGGCGGTCAAGGTCACTGACAAATGAAGAAGAAGAATGAGTCTCAGGGCCCTTGGCTGGAGCAGCTCTCCCAATCCAGGGGTCAGTGCGCTGCTTCCCCGGGCACTTTTATCCCACGAGCAGCCTGACAGCGTATTTATTATGCCTCTGCTGAAACCATTGATGAGAAAATGTGTTTGCCCTCGGCTTTCCTTTAGAAGACAAGGTGTCATTTGAATAACTTGCCTAATTTTTCTTCCTACCAAGTACCACTTTTTTTTTTTTTTTTTTCTCCCAGCTCTTTCCCTCAGGCAGCTCTTTATTCGATAGGAAATGCCAATGCTGATGATATGTTATTGTTGGGAATTTATATCGTCCACAGGGCTGTCAGAAACCCCGATGATCTCGAAGCAAGGTCCAGTATGCACTTGGCAAGTGCCTTTGCTGGCATCGGTTTTGGAAATGCTGGTGTTCATCTGTGGTGAGCGAAGAGATTTTATTTCTTCACCTAACCGACTACTCTTAAATTTTAAAACCGTTTATAACGTAGGACAGGTGGTGATATTTAAATAGGTTATGGAAAGAAGGTATTTAACTTAGGGTCCTGGAATATTTTCTTCATTCTAATGTAATTTATTGGGCCACGGATTTTTTTTTTTTTTGTAACAATTTTATTGAGATATAATTCACACTATATAATTCACTTTTTAAAATGAACAAGTCAGGGTTTTGTTTTGTTTTTTAGTATATTCACAGGTACCATTACCAAAATCAGTTTTAGAGCATTTTTATCACCCCAAAAAAGAAATGCTATACCTCTTAGCCTTCACCTGCCAATCCTCCTATACCCCCAGTCTTAAGCAACTACTAATCTACTTTCTCTCTATAGATTTGCCTATTCTGGGCATTTCATACAGATAGGATCATATAATATCTGGTCTTTCGTATCCGGCTTCTTTAACATAGCATAATGCTTCCGTGGTTCGTTCATGCTTGCATCAGTACTTCATTCCATGTTATTGCCAAATAACATCTCATTGTGTTGCTTTTTCACATTTTATTTATCCATCATCAGATGATGGACATTTGGGTTGTTTCCACTTTTTGGCTATTGTGACAAATACTGCTATGAACAGTTGTCATTTCTATTGGTTATATATACCTGGGAGTGGAGTTGCTGGTAATTGTATTTTAAATTTTGAGGAACTTCCTGTTTTTCACAGCAGCTGCACCATTTTACATTCCCACCAGCGGTGAATGAGGGTTCTGATTGCTCCGCATACTCTCCATGTGTTGTGGGGGATTTTTAAAACCTCAAATGCAGTATTTTTTTCTTCTAATCTCTCACAAAAAGAGAGATTAGAGTCGTTCCCAATAGCCCAGAATTAATCTGTTTGATCAGAACTTTACTGGTATATTGCCTTCAAATTGAACACCAGTGAACATGGAGAATTAAGAATTTGCTAGGCAGAGTACAATAAAATAAATGGTCTCCCCAAAGCTCTGCTGCTGAGAGGAGCAACTGAGCAAAATCTCCCCAAAGTTTGAAAAATGTGTTTACCTTTTGTCCCACTAATTTCACTTCTAAAATGTAGCCTTAAAACATACCATATGACCAATGAATTTCCTTATAAGGAATAACCACCTAAGTGTTAATATAATTGAAAAATGTGGAAGCAACCTAAATTTCCAATAGATTAGGAATGGTTAACCAAAGTGCAGTACTCAAAGAATAAAATAAGGCTATTAAAAATAATGTTTTAGAAGAATACAAAGTGATACAGGAAAATGTTTACAAAGAATATTAAGTAACAAAAGCATTGTTTAAAACTGAATGCAGAGTATGATCGATCATATATATATTAAAGTTGTGCATAAAAGACTAGAAGGAAATATTCTATAATGGTTATCTTGAGGAAATAGAATTATGGATTCTTTTAATTTTTTACAAAGAACATATACAACTATTAAAATAAAATAAGTTAACTAAAATATTGGCTATAATTAGAATGGTACCTTTTAAAGCTACATTAACCCTTTCACATCATGAAGGCACACTAGGAAATAATTTTCTGAATACTTTGGAGCCTGAGAAATGTAAAACATATTCCAAAATACCCAACAACTCAGAGGACTCATAGCTTTTCATCTGTCTCATGAAAGATGATAGACTAGGGCCCACCCCCCTTTTATTTGATAAATAATCATACACTTCACCAAATATTTCATCTTTCTATGAAATGTAAATTTTTTTGGTGAATAAGTACAAAGCTATCTAATACTTAATAGACTTATAGGCCATTTTACTGTTATAAAATATTTTATTTTAATACATTAATTGTAATGACACTAACTTCTAACAATGTATATCTCCTGAATCATCTATTAAGCTATAATATAATCCTATTTGTTCAGTAAAAACTCAAGAGGATATAGCTTTTCCATTCCCCCCCTCTTCAAATATTCCCATAAATAAAAATCATGGCGCTGTTTTTTGAAAGTCTTTCAGACTAAAATAATCATTTGTGATTGAACTCCATTAGTATGTACCATTCTAAAGGATGTACTGATCATTGGTGGGACAGATCACTAGCAGGTCAAGCTTACATGTTGATGTATCACATCTTACTTTATAAATCTCCCACTGACATGGTCAGCTTGTGCAGGAACACACTGCCAATATATTGCAGAGCAAGATAAAAAAAAATACATGCTTCGAAATATATTAAAGAAACTTCAAAGTGAATTCTCAATTTCTTCCAGATTATAAGGTTAACCAATGTATTTGGGGAGAGTCTTCTGTACTAACACGTTTTAATGGTATACAATTTTATGAATATTTGATTTTTAGTATTTCAGAGGTTTTACTATGAATAACACCAAATATTGAATACCATAACAGTATTTTTTATAGCAAGGGAAACAAAGTGGATCACTTTGTGAGATAAAGGTATTGTCTAGAGACTGTAAAGAGCTCTCCCAGAATAGTGAGTATCTTTCTGTTATCTTGAATTTCCGATAACTTTATGCCAACATAAGGGCTTTCTTTCTTTTCTAGCCATGGAATGTCTTACCCGATTTCAGGCTTAGTGAAGACATACAGAGCAAAGGATTATAACGTGGATCACCCATTGGTGGTAAAATCATAATACATTTTTTAATTAAGTCTCCTCTTCCTTGCAGTTGCTATAAATGTATTTGTCAATGCTTGATTGCTCGTAGTTCGGGGTAACTTAATGTCTAGAACATGCGGTTGGCCTACCCGTCACGGTGTTTTGTTCCTCCGCAGCCTCACGGCCTTTCTGTGGTGCTCACCTCGCCAGCGGTGTTCACCTTCACAGCCCAGATGTCTCCTGAGCGGCACCTGGAGACGGCAGAGATATTGGGTACGAATCATTACTTGTAATCCTGTGACCCACATAGGTGGAGCACTTCCTCGGTTTGATTCTAAAGATAAAGGATAATACTAAAAATAAATAAATAAATAAATAAATAAATAAATAAATAAATAAATAAATAAATAAATAAAGTTGCTTTGAGGTAGTTTAGAAATAACTTGTCACTGACCTGCACAATTCAGTGCTAAAATTTTATAATTTCGTGTTCTAACAATCTGGTAACAGTGAAGTGAAACCAAATATGGCTTCTGTTGAGTTTGGAGTAATCCCCATATTTCCTGTTTTCATCCCCAAGGAAAGTGAAAGTCTTTACATACTACAAATGTGGTAAATGATTCTGGCGAGTTTAAAAGGTAATAAAATGAATCTAATTCCCAATTATAGAGAGGCTAAACAACTAGAAACTGTAGAAAAAGATCCCCAAAGGCGAATATTTTTGCTGCTCTTTAGAATAAATAAAGCCTATAATACATTTCCCGCAGTGCCTTTTGCATCTTGACAAGAGATAGAAGTATATTCAGGATAGCTTAGATTAGTAAAATTTTGGTATTTTTCTAAGACAAAAACGTCTTTTTTCAGTACTTGAGTGTTTGATTAACTGTCCAAACATCTTATTGCCCTACTCGTGTTTAGGGCAGGAAGGGAAAGTCTGAAAGAAAACTTCATTACACTCCCCTACTCCCAGCTGTTGGAGAGATTATGTCCAAGAAGGTGGGAACGACCACAGACATCCCTCCGCGGGGCCTCTTCACACTCACTCCTCTCTCTCTCTCTGACATGTGTGCTCCCGGCATGTTCAGGAAAGAAGCCCAGGGCTTGCTTTTCCTGCATGTGCTGCCGCAAATGTGATGCCACCTTTGCCAAGGATCTCGTGTTCCTGTTCCCTCTGGGACTAGGGATGTTGTTCAGCCATTTATTGGGACTCAGATGCCTTTGGAAATACACAGACCGTGTAAATAGACAGGATCCCCAATAGTAGGCTACATGCATGATAAATGGGGAAAATCTTAAGAGAACATTCCAGACAACCACCAAAATGACTGAGAAAGCAATTCCTCTGCAAGACAAAACCCTGGCCGGAAGAACCCACCAGTTTGATTAATATTATTCTATACATGGCCATTCCTATTTTGATTCCCTAAGGAATCTTAGGTTTTCTTAGTTGTATACCAACGTATTCACTTTCCTACCCTCTCTCTTTTTTTCTAAAACACTTCGTAGAAAAACCCAGAGGTTTTGGTGGTGTATTTTATGGCACCAATCCCAAGAAAATAAAAATCTCATAAACCTCGTATCGTGTGTTGCCTCTCCACCTACTCCATATTTTAGCTGCTGCTGTATATTATAGACTGGTCTTGTCAGGCAAGGTTTACCTTCCTACCCCAGCTGCTCCACCAACCAGCCCCATATCTGGTTCTATTTATCCTTCTCCGGGATTACTCAACCAGTTCTCACTGTCCTGGAGAGAGAGGTTAAAATTGATTTAATCCTGTGCTTTAGGATGGAGGTGAAACGTACATGCAAGACCCCTTGTGAACACTACGGAGAAAGTGGGCGTGGACGGCGGCTTGAGGCATTCTGGATAATAACTAATGCTACGTTCCATTTGTAAAGGGCTTCCCTTCCAGGCCGGGGGTGTGTTCAGCTGGCATAGATGGAGTCAGGGGTGCTAAGGTTTGGAGATCAGGTTCCTTCATCTGGGAGCGGTCACCACCACCCTTCCTATGGGCAGAGCCCCCTGGCTCTTCCAGACTGATGTCTCTCTAATGCTGTGTGTTAATTATTCATTACGTCCGAGTCCTGCCCTTTTCTGTCTCCAACGCTTGTCAGCCTTCTCCCACCCTCCACCAATATCAGCACCTACCTATTAAAAACCGTTTTCTGGGAGTCTTCATGTCTGACTAGTTCTGTAGAGGAACCTGCTTTGCTTATTGGTAACAAGAGTCCAAAATAAAAACTTTTTATAGCTTATTGAAAGGAAATACTTTCCTTCCTGGCCACACATGATCCATTTTTGTCATCTTCTTCCTTTTTGGCAGGCAGTGTTTGGCGTGTTCGTACTTACCTAGATCCTTATCTCACAAAGGGTTTTTGCAAAGGGTTTGTCTCTTCTGTAAAGGTTGCTGTGGGGAAAAAAGACATTGAACACGTACTACCTCTAGATGTCAGCAAATTCCAGGCCTTGGAAGTGGCATAAGCTGTGTTTTCTGCCACAAATGCTGCTCCTCCTCCTCCTCCTCCTCCTCCTCCTCCTTCTTCTCCTCCTCCTCCTCCTCCTCCTCCTCCTCCTCCTCCTCCTCCTCCTCCTCCTCCTCCTCCTCTTTCTTCTTCTTCTTTATTCCAACACCAGCCTTCTTTCTCGGCCTCCTTCCGGGGCCTCTTTTCTTTGGCTCTGTTCCTTGTCTCCCCCCACCCCCACCCCCACCCCCCAAGGGTTGAGGAGCCCATTGGGAAGGTGAGAGCCGGGTTAGCAGCCCCAGTGGGCTCCTCCGCACTCGCCTGGCCCATCTGTCTCCTGCAGGCTTGCCCGCTGGGCCGGCCTCCACGTGGGAGGCACATCGGGGCCCCTGTCCTCCGCCTGGGGAGCCAACAGAAGGTTATACATCAGCTACCCGTGGGACTGAGCTGCACCAGGGCCAGCTTCCTCCCCTCCGCCCACAGTCAGCGCTTTGTGTCTTCCAGGGGCCGACACCCGCACCGCCAAGAGGGCAGATGCTGGGCCCGTTCTGGCTGATGCCCTCCGGAAACTCCTGCTGGATTTGGACGTGGAGGACGGCCTCGCTGCCATTGGCTACTCGAAGGCCGACATCCCCGCCTTGGTGAAAGGAACCCTGCCCCAGGTAAGAGATGCAGAGCAGCCCTAGCTGGTTTGGCTCAGTGGATAGAGTGTCCCAGATTCGATTCCGGTCAAGGTCATGTACCATGGTTGCGGGCACATCCCCAGTGAGGGGCGTGCAGGAGGCAACCGATCAGTGATTCTCTCTCATTGATGTTTCTATCTCTCTTTCCCTCTCCCTTCCTCTCTGAAATCAATAAAGAAATATATTTGAGAGAGAAGAGGCAGCATCCCACCCAGGGCCCGTGGGGAAAGAGGAAGACTCAGGGGTCCTCAGGCGGCCCCCCATCAGTTCTCCACCAGATGGCCCCGCGCTCCCTTTCCCCAGGGGGAAGGGGCCAAGGCTCCCTTGCCTTCATGGTCTTCCATAAACCTGGGGCATGTGTGAAACTTTCATGATGAAACTGAAAGGAGCCTTTATTAAAAATGTAAGGCATAAACAAGCCGCATTTACATTGAGGTGTGGCAAAATTTCCCTTTTCTCCATTCCTGCTCTCGTAAGAGTCCCCTGTAAAACTAGATACGAAGCTGTTGCTAAAGAGCCACCAATAGCGTTTTTGCATTAAAAAAAATTCCAGATTCCTACAATTTTGTGTAGAATAAGCATGGCCTTTAAGACTACTACAAAATCAATCTCTGTTTTACATATTTGGAAGATTATATATTTTATACATAAACATAAAATATATAATATGCATTATCAGCGTCACTTTGGGTCTTATTTATTTAAATGGTGATAAAGAACTTAAACTGAACTATTCTTTATTTGGTAGAAAAGTTGTAATAAATGCAGAGTTTTCCCTCTCTAGTTTTGCATGAGGAGAGTTCAACTCCCATTGGACCTCTCTCCCATTTGGATCAGATACCCAGATACCCCTGTGCTACAGCATCAGATCCAAACAAGACAATACCATAAAACAGAGAGCTGGAGTGCTCCCCATGCTGAGTGCTCCCTTAGTCCTTCTGTCCAAAATGGGAAAGCCAGGAGCCCTGAACACTGTGAGGACATGAAGAAAAGGAATGTCTGCCCAAAAGATGGTCATGAGTCTGTATCCCTGAAATGGGAACAGAGTTAACTGGAATATCCCCATACAACATCCTACTCAACCCCACTCCAGTTAAGCAAGGGCCTCACACTAGCTTCTTCCCTACTTAGCAAAAGCTTAGAATGTTGAAGCCCCCAGCTCATCTAAGGTAATATTTGTATGGGTTCATTCATTTCCACGGGAGCCAGGGAGGTAGCAGCAATGAACAAAGTAATTTAAGGAAATGGCAAGTGGTGGGGGCTTTGGTGAACTGGAAAACTCATGGCTTATTTCATTGTGTAAGCCTCTTTTTAGCTACGATTTATTACATCCAAGTAGAAATTCAGATCCCAGTGTTGGTAGAACTTCCAGTTTTCAAGAAAAATTCACAACCTGGATGTTTGTATTGAATCCTCTCACTTACCAATGTACAAAGCAAACATGGCCCATGGGACACCAGTTTCTCTGATATAGACTGAGATTCATTGAACTCTATTTTTTCTAAAAATATAAAAATATAAAAGAATGAGAAAAGAGGAGTCTCATAAAGTAGCAAAGCTCCCAGGCTAACTCACAAACTCTTGGTTCTAACCCACAGTCCAAGGGACTAAATGGCAAAAAAAAACATGACCATTCCAATTATTTTACCCAAATCTATTAGACCGTAAGTTCCATAAAGCCTTGGAACCTGTCTGTTTTGGTCATCCATCTTCTATTGCATCTAGCATGGACTAGTAAACATATTGAATGAATACACACCTGCAACCCTTTCCTCTTATACCAGTGAGCTCAATGGCTGAATGGTGGTAACTTTTTGAGAAATTTCCTTAGACTGACATGGTCATCAACCAATAACAATGAGCAATTGTCCAGGGACCAGAGAACAAATGATCATTAGGATTTTGATGTAGGTCTGGTCTTACAGTATGATTCCAGTGAGAGTATCCATTCTGCAAGGGGTCCTCTGAAAAGTTCTGCTTACATAGCCCAAGAAAGTATTTAGAAATATGTGTTAGTCAATCTCTGTGGATGGTATTGATAATTTTCAGGTGGAACTGTATATTATTGGCCATTTAACTGCTGGAGGCAATGCGTCTTCCAGGCATCAGGACACATTGGCAAGTGTTCACTGTTTTAATTCTACCTTGCTCAGACTTCGCTTTCAGAAGCTGTTCCAGATTAACATTTGAGTTCGTCCACTAAAATAGCAAATTAGTTAGGTATTCTTCTGAATGCCTCGGCATACATATCATACTGGGAAATAGAGAGAGCAAAACTTTAATTAGACACAACTACGTTTTTTGTTCCACAAAAGATGCAGGGTAAATGGAATCTTTAGCATACAAGTCATGTCCATAAAGTAGGATTCCCTCAGGCTGTATTCATGAAGCAGCCCCAACAGGTATACTGCCTTTTTCCCTTTTGATCATGTCAGAAACATTGTTCATTTAAATTAACTATCAGCCTGGCTGGTGTGGCTCAGTAGTTGAATGTTGACCTATGAACCAGGTCAGGGCACATGCCCCGGTTGCAGGCTCTATCCCCAGTGTGGGACGTGCAGGAGGCAGCCGACCAGTGATTCTCATCACTGGTGATTAATGCTTCTGTCTCTCTCCCCTCTCCCTTACTCTCTGAAATCAATGAAAATATTTTTAAAAATAATAAATTAGCTATCACATTTGGAGTTATATTTATATACCTATCTATCTCTATATCTCTCTCTACATTATATATATAGTAAAATATATATATATATAAAATGTAGAGAGAGATATAGAGATAGATAGGTATATAAATAGTTATAGATATATATATTCACAGGACTTTAGAAGGAATCTTAGAAATAAACTTATCTTGCAAATAAAGAACTACCATGGGTTTTTCTGTTTGTTTGGCAACAGTGAACACTTCGCAGGAATACTGTGGCAGCTTCAATTTTTACACAGGAGGCACAGTAATCCTCACTTATTAGTATCACAGGATTTAAAGTAGTGAAGGGGATATAGTGGTTCCTGCAAAAAAAAAAAAAAAAAAAAAAAAAAGGTTATTTCATGGAGTCGACATTTGATAAAGCTCCTTTTATGTTCAGCAACGAGGGGTCGGTTTTTTTTTCCTCTGGAAGGAACAACCAGGCCAGTATTCTTGACCAAACACCGCGGCTCCTACTGGCAGCGGCAAAGAGCAGCCCTGTGTGCAGAGGCTTCCAACCGCCGTAGCCGGGCTGCAAGGGGAGCGGGCATGAATAAATTAATCTCCCATGTTGGGTTTCTGAAACTTCTAGAAAGAAACATTTACATTTCAAATCAAAACATTTCATTACTGAGGAGAGCTGTCTACCAAAAATGAGCACTTCCACTCCCTGGAAAGGCAGGCCCGCTGAAATGTTGTTATTTTATGAATGTGCTAAAAAGTAGTGGTCTGGATTGATTTTAGTGCCCATGTTAATCAGTTGTCCTTCGGTCTTACATGTCTATAAACAATAGCACATTGCAGAGCACATCTTGATTCTGAGAGTTTAGCTTTTTTTAAAAAAATTTATATTTTATTGATTTTGTACAGAAAGGAAGGGATATAGAGAGTTAGAAACATCGATGAGAGAGTCATCGATCAGCTGCCTCCTGCACACCCCCTACTGGAGATATGCCCGCAACCAAGGTACATGCCCTTGACCGGAATCGAACCCGGGACCATTCAGTCCCCAAGCCGACGCTCTATCCATTGAGCCAAACCGGTCCCAGCGAGTTTAGCTTTTATACGGCATCGATGATATGTAGGGGGATGTATCACAGACGTTATGTCCTTGCGGCCATTTAACCAGTCGTTGGGGTTTAGAAATCTGAAATCAGCTCAGTGTGGCCTGAAACACTTCTGAGGGTCCTGAACTACTTCACCAAAGGTGAACAAGATCATTTGAAGGGCCTTTTAGCTCATCCAATAAGACTTACTCCATTATCAACCCAATGATGGGACAGCGCTCTTCACTTCTTGCCCCTGCCACAAAGGCATACATAGGTCACCATGACCACATCTCTGGACCTTGCTACAGATTTTCAAAAAGTGTTGGGGTCTCTAAAAGATCTGCTGGGATGTACAATTTTATCTTGGCTTTATCCATACTCATCAGTGTTGATTCCCATTCTTCTCCCATCTGTCCATCCATCCTTTCTTTTTTTTAAAAATTAATTTTTAAATTATGGTAAAATATACCTAACAAAATCAACTATTTTAACCATTTTTAAATATACAATTTAGTGCCATTAAGTGCATTTACAATCTTGTGCAACCATCACCACTGTCCATTTCCAGAACTATTTAATCATCCCAAATAAAAGTTCTGCTCTATTGTGAAATGATAAATAATATTACCATTGCCCCCTCTGTCCCTTTCCACCAACCCCTGGTAACCTCTATTCTACTTTCTATCTTTATGAATTTGCCTGTTCTAGGTACTTTGTGAAAGTGGAATTATACAATATTTGAACTGTTGTTTTGCCTATTTCACTTAGCATATGTCTTCGGTGTTTTAGAACTTCATTCCTTTTTGTAGCTGACTAATATTTCATTGTGTGGATATACTGTATTTTGGTTATCCATTCATCTGCAGCTAGACATTTATTTGGGTTGATTCCACTTCGGCTCTTGTGAATAATGCTGCTAGGAACATTGGTTTACAAGTATCTGTTTTGGTCCCTGATTTAGATTTATTTGGATAATTCTATGCTTAATTTTTTGAGGAACTGCCAGGCTATTTTCCATGGTGGTTATACCATTTTACATACACACCATTTTACAATGCTCAAAAGTTCCAGATTCTCCACATCTAACACTTTTAAACAATTGTTATTTTTATTTTTTTAAAAGCCATTCTAATGAGTGTGAGTGGAAATTCATTGTGATTCTGACTTGTATTTCCCTAATGACAATGTTGAGCTTTTTCCATGTACTTATTGCCTATTTATATAATCTTCCTTTGAGAAATGTCTAGTCAAGTCCTCTGCTATTTTTTTCCTTTTTAAAAAAATATATTTGTATTGATTTTAGAGAGGAAGGGAGAAAGAGATGGAAACATCAATGAGGAGAGAGAGTCATTGATCAGCTGCCTCCTGCATGCTCCACACTGGGGATCAAGCCCGAAACCTGGGCATGTGACCCTACCAAAAATCAAACATGACCTCCTGATTCATAGGTCGACACTCAAACACTGAGCCATGCTGGCCAGGCTTCCTGTTTTAAAAAATCTTCACCCAAGGATATGCTTACATTGATGAGAGAGAGAGAGAGAGAGAGAGAGAGAGAGAGAGAGAGAGAGAGAGAGAGAGAGAGAGAGAGAGAGAGAGAGATCAGTTGCCCCTATATGTGCCCTGTCTGGGGATCAAATCCACAACCCTTGATCGCATGGGACCACTCCAACCAACTGAGCCTACTGGCCAGGGATCCTTTGCCTGTTTTTTAATTGGGTTGTCTGGGAGTTCTTGTTGTTAAGTTGTAGCAATTATTTGTATATTCTGGATATTAATCCCTTATCAGATATCTGACTTACAAATATTTTCCCCATTCTATTAGTTATCTTTTCATTCTCTTGATAGTGTCTTCTGATGCATAAAAGTTTTTAATTTTGATGTAGTCCAATTTATCTGCTTTTTTGTTGTTATTGCCTATGCTTTTGATGTCATCCAAGAAATCATAGCCCTGCCCTCATGGAGCTTCCCTCTTCCACCAGGTGTGCTCCCAAACAAGTGCTCAGCACAAGCAAACAGACCGAGAGACCCAAACTGCTACATTTTTAAAATTTTATTTAGACCCAGAAATTTGGACACAGAGTAGTCGTTATAATACCTATTAATCTCCTGTCCCAGAGAAATCAAGGAGCCACCAATGAGAATATAAATAGCAAAAGCATGTGCTGGCTAGCTCTGCTGACTTGACTCAATAATCAATGGAAAAAATTAAGCAAGTCACCAAATTCATTTGCAACCATAGAGATAAAACCTTAGTTAATATTTTAAAAGGGAGTCTCTTGTTGCCCATAGCCTGAAAATTATGTCCTAATGAAGTTATTTTGACTATCCCAGAAGTTCAAGTTGCAAAATATACAGTCTTTGAAGTCAGGGATGACCTGGTTCTGTTTTCTTTGCTGAGCCTGGGACAGTGTTCTCCGCACCTGGCCAAGATTGCTGACCAACGCGGTTTGGTCATTATAGGAGGTGTTTGTCCTGAGGTTGGTTTAGTTCTGTACAATTGAGCAGAAGGCTATTAGCAGGGCATAAGACAAGGACAATTAGGCAAGATATAGGCATTTGAAAGCTCGCCAATAGTAGTGTAATAACTTTGTGTGGTGCCAGGTGGGTACTTGAAATGTAGGAGGATCTTTTTGAAAAGTATATGGTTGTCTAACCCCTATGCTGTACACTTGAAACTAAGACAAAATAATGTTGAATGTAAACTGCAATTGAAAAGTAAAATGTGAAAGCTTTGTGAGAAAGATGCATCACTTGATAAACTTTTGAGTTGGGAGTCAATTAGTATGAAGCAAACAAGAAATATGACCTTTAAAGATAGAACTATTATAAAGTCATTGTTTCTTGTGCCCAAGTTAATTTGCATAACCTAGTAGCTTTCACAAACTGCCTTTTCAAAGCCCTGAGTGACTCCTTTTGTTTACTATTTCAGGAAAGGGTCACCAAACTTGCACCACGCCCTCAGTCAGAAGAGGATCTGTCTGCCCTATTTGAAGCTTCGATGAAACTGTATTAATTTTCATTTTCACTGAAAGAATTGGCTGTGAGAGCTCTGAAATCAGAAGTGGATCTAGCCAAAGCTCCACACATAACTTATCTGTTACCAATGTGATATAAATTTATCCTGCAGAAGAAGATTCCATGATGCTCAAAAGTCAAGCTACTTCCATAATACAGGTTAGACAAATGCCTAGAAGTATTGGACCCTGGTTTGTGTTCCTTCCCTATATTCTGAATACTGTCCCTGCTTTGTGTATCAAATAGGTGAAAACTCACTACCAAAAATATCAATGTATACATCCTATGTGCCGTAACCCATGTCTAGATATTTATACTGTAAAAGTACTAGCATAAATTATAAAGAAATATGACAAAAATGTTTCTGGCAGCATTTTTTTCTAACAAAAAGTTTGGAGGAACCTAAATATGCATTAATAATATATTGATAAATAAATTACAGTATATTAAATAATAGAATGCTATTGTGCTATTAATAAGAATGAAGTAAAATGATTGGAAATATGTTCATGATATACTGTTAAGTTGGAAAGAAGTAAGCTGCTGAACAACTATATATTGGTATGGTTCAGTTTTATGTTTATAATTACATGTAAAGATATGTTTATATATACATATTAAAAGTTATCACTGGAGAAATGGAACTTGAGGTATAGAAACTTAAGAAAAAATACCTTCTATTTTAGACTTTTATTTTTTATTTTATAAACGTCTATATTGTTTGGATTTGTTACAATGAGCATAGAAGTAAATTTAAAGGAGGGGGGAGAAAAGAAAAATACCACGTTCCTGTTTTAGGTCAGATTCATCTTGTTTTATAAAAATATTAGTAACTAATATTTAAAAGGTAAAAACAAATACAAATGGATAAAATATTAGAGACTGATCTCTTTTTTTTCCATGCATTATTTTACTTTATTTTTTTAAGTATTACAAATAGTAGTACATATGTCTCCTTTTTTCCCCCATTGACCTCCCCCATGCCTCCCCTACCTTCCAATACATGCCCTCAACTGCCCCCACCCAGTATCTTGTATCCATTGGTTATGCTTATATGCATGCATGCAAGTCCTTCAGTTGATCTCTTATCTCCTCCCGCGAACCCTCCCTAGCCTTCCTGCTATAGTTTGACAGTGTGTTCAATGCTTCTTTGCCTCTGTATCTATTTCCTCCCATTTCTTTCCTTTAAAAAAAAATCTCACCTCTGCAGACTAGAAATAAACATCTAATAACAAAAAATGTTTGAGTCCTAATTTCAATGTCCAACAGTTCTGAGTCCCCATTTCAATGTCAAACAGTTCCTTATGTGTACATGTCAGCCATGATATCTGGATGGTGGGCACATGGTGGCAATGTAGGTCAGACCCTCTCTGGTTTGGTCCTAGGCAACCAGCAGCGATGCACAGCTGCTGACTGCTAGCGTGGCAAGGCTTTGTCAGCGTCTTCCATCTCTGCATTGTTTCTCCTCTTGTCTGTAGTTGGAGCAGACCTGTCAATTCTAGAAACTGATGTCTGTCAAAGAAAATGTTCTTTTGAGAAAAACACTAACTTTTTTTAATTGAGGTAGCATTGGTCAATAGCATTATATAAGTTTCCGGTACACAGCGTTACAATTAAATACCTGTGTACGCTATAGCTTGCTTGCTACCCAAAGTCTAGTTTCCATCTGTCACCAGGTAATTGATCCGCTTTAATTCTGCCCTCCTCCATTTCTCCCTCTAGTAACCACCAATCTGTAGTCTGTATCCATGAATTTGTTTTTGTTTTATTTTGGTTCGTTTGTTTGTTTGTTGTTTTATAGTACCATATGAGTGAAATCATATGGGTTTTTGTCCTTATCCAGCTGACACATATTTCACTTTGCATTCATGTTGTTGCAAGTGGCAATGTTTCATCTTTTTTATGGCTCGGTAGTATTCCATTGTAAATAGGTACCAAATCTTCTTTATCCATTCATCCGTCAATGGACACTTAAAAGAGTTTTCATATCTTAGCTATTGTAAATAATCCTGCCATGAACATAGCAGTGCACATAACTTTTCAAATTAGAAAACACTAAAATTTTACATGGTAATGACCTCTTTGGAAAAACGTTCCTGGTGCTCAGAATAAGTTAATTCAAGAGCAATCAGCTTTGTAGTTTGCAAATGATAGCCTTACAGATGGAAGCTAAGGAGCCTGTGGTCTGCTTCCCTGTTATTCTCGACCTGCAGAAACCTCTGTAGCTCATTTTCCCCCAAAATGATTTCCACACTGAGGTCTGTCTGCTCAAGCTTTGGGGCCTAGATCTCAGTGTACATGTGGAATTATTCACGTTTTAAATGGAATTAAAGAAATAATCACCTAAGTAATGACTACTTATTTAATTGCATCAGGGCATCATTGTTCCATTCAACCTTCCAAGAGCCATTTTATCTCTATGAAGATCTCTATTTCCTTCAGATTTTGAAAATAACATTTAAATAATGTTCATTATAAAATAATTTGAGATGTAAAAAATGCATTCTCTGCCGAATCCAGTTTGGCTCAGTGGTAGAGCGTCGGTCTGCAAACTGAAAGGCCCCAGGTTCGATTCTGGTCAAGGGCATGTACCTTGGTTGCGGGCACATCCCCGGTAGGGGGTGTGCAAGAGGCAGCTGGTTGATGTTTCTCTCTCATCGACGTTTCTAGCTCTCTCTCTCTCTCTCCTTCCTCTCTGTAAAAAAATCAATAAAATATATTTTTAAAATAAATAAATAAAAAATAAAATTAAAAATGCATTCTCTATATCTCTTAAGTGTTCCATGCCTTTACTACCGGCAGCCAGATGTCTCAATGTGACTCACCAAGAGGAGTGTTTGTTATCCATATTGGAGATGACTCTAAAGGAAGAATTTAAAGGTCAGGCATGAAGAAACAGACCTAGGAATCTTTCATATATTTTTTTTAATCTTAATACCGATCATTTTTTGTCTTCACAATTTAAGTATATGAAAAAGATATGTTTCTTGACTTACCGGCTATTAACAGAGTGTGAGGTAGGAGATTAAGCCCATTTCCATAAACCGAATACTTTGATGTTTCTGAGATAATTGAGTGTATTTTTCTAAATCACATCCTTTCTTTTTTTTTTTTATTAAAAAATCAAAAAGTCCTCAGGTCTCACAGCTCCACTTATATGGATTAATTTACTTGCAAGGGCAAGAAACATTAAAGAACAGTATTCAAAAGTTTGGGAAATATTACTTTTATAAAACTATCCTTTTATAAAACTATCCTTGCCCTGGTTTGGCTCAGTGAATAGAGCGTCGGCCTGAGGACTCAAGGGTCCCAGGTTCAATTCCAGTCAAGGGCATGTACCTTGGTTGCAGGCACATCCCCAGTAGGGATTGTGCAGGAGGCAGCTGATCCATGTTTCTCTCTCTCATCAATGTTTCTAACTCTTTATACCTCTCCTTTCTCTTTATAAAAAAATCAATTATATATATATATATATATATATATATATATATATATATATATATTTTTTTAAAAACAACTATCTTCTAAGGTGGCATTGTCACTTAAAATACATGCACATCCAAATTTATTTCATGATACAAACCTATCTCAAATGAGTCATGTTTCTACAGTTTTTGTCAAGTGCCACAATAAATAGCTCACTGATTTTGCACTCCTGTCCCTTCTCTGTGCACAGGGAGCGCTGTGTTGGGCTTGGCATTGTTTGCGTAGCTGTCGACACAGCTGCGGGGTGTTTTCAGTGGTCAGTGAACTAAGTTAAATCTAGACAGGTACAGTATCAAAATAGAGAGGGAGCGAGAAATAATTGCTTTTCTGGCCTTTAAACCCTGAGAAAGATTAATGGTTGTTTGGATTAGAAACTGTACCCTAATGAGGGACTGTTGCCTCTGGGGAGTGGGTATGAGAGAGGGGACTGTTCACCTCTGGGTCAACACCTCACAGGCCGCTGTGTCTCTGATGACCAGCAACCCACGTCGGAGACAGCTGCCTGGGCTGGGGCTCCTCCATTAAATGCAGAATCCCCTGAGACCTGCTGAGGAGGCCAGGCCACAGCCCAGCCATCACCATCACAATGGCTGGCACCAGGAAAAGCCACCGTTTGGGCAGAAATTGGTCCTTGAAGCCCTAGGTTGAATCACTGGCAGCTGGGGATAGGAGGGTCTGTTTTCTCATGCTATTATCCCACTGTCTTTCCACCCACCCCACCAGCTCTCAGAACAAATGCATACGCCCCACAGATTGCAATCCTGCCGGTGATTTTGTCCCATGTGAAAACCCTCAGGAAGCTATGAGGAGGACTGCTAACGTTAAAATAGCCTCATCTTATTCATTCTGGTTTTGCATTATGGTGCTTTTACTTGATTTTCCAATTTATAAAGTTGGAGACTAATTAAAATAATCATGAGCAGAAATGAGAAAAAAAACTACCATTATGCCATTACCCAAACACAGCTGTTATCATTTGATATATTTCCTTTCCATCTTTTCCATTTGGGTGATGTAATCCAGCTCTTAAGGACTAACATTTTCAGTATTTTCTGTGTTACCATATAATCTTCATAACCATTCATTTAAAAGGTGCACAATAGTTTATTGAACAGGAATTTAATAATTTATTCTTATTGCTTCCAAATTTTACCTCCCTCCCAATACCATAGCAAGGAATATTGTATATACAGATTTTTTTCAGATTCTAAATTAATTTGAGGTTAATTCATCCCCAAATAAAATTTTACATTAGAGTATGGACATTTTTATGGCTCTTGATTTATATTGTTAAATTATATATATCTATTGTTTTACATGCTGCTTACCTATCCTTCAATCTTCTCTTTAAAACCAATAGTAGTTAAAAAACAAAAACACCAAAAACAAAAAACAAAACCGATAGTAGTGTACAGAATAGGCAATATAATCAATAATATTGTAATAACTGTGTATGGCCGAAGCCGGTTTGGCTCAGTGGTAGAGCATCTGTCTGCAGACTGGAGGGTCCCA